ATATATATTATTTTTTAAAATTAGTGATGGCGTTATTTTTAATTTTAGTGTTATGTATGTAAATATAAAAATTTAGTCATTAGGCATGTAAATATATATTTCTTATGTGGTGTATATATAAAAATGCCGAAAATGCCGTAATAAATAGATTTTGATTATTGTGGGAAAGGAAAGCATTGAAAGAAAGCGATACTTCAGCAGAAGGTGCTGATGGCGACCCAAGTGGTCATCTGCTGCAGATTTTGGGTGGAATGAATTATATTTTAAATCTCATGATTTAATGATAATGTTTATTTTTATAATTGGGGTATAATGCTTCCCGTCAAAAAATATTTATCCGTTATCATTTTAAAATTATAAAAAATGTCATACAATTAGGGATTTAGAATTAATGATTCATAGTTCCTCAATACCATCTATGAGCACACAGACCCCCCGAAACTCCTCTCATATGCTACCTATGGGTTTTACAGTGATTTAACCTTTATCCAATAGTCTTGTCTCGCTAGGCAGATATGAAGTGCTCGTCTAGGGATTGAGGGTCGACAACCGACCAGATCTACTGATCAATAAAATATAGTCAATCAAATTATTCATATCACCCGAAGTCAATCAAACTCAAGCCGATTGACATTGTTAGATCAGCCTAGTTGAGTGGACTGACCTCACAGGGCCGATAAACCAAACAAGTTCAGCTAACCTAGCAAGACAATAGTGGAGCGATAAACTCACATATGTAAAATATCTAAAATATCATTTACAACCCCAATTAAAGCAATGACAAAAGTGTAATATCACTATATTGTATCATCTTGGCTACAAATAAGGTGATTATTTTGTGACATGCACAAATAAAAAAGGTGTATTATCATTCATTATTGTTCACTCCTCTTTTTTTTTTTACACTCTTCAGTACAAATCAAAATTCAACTCTCTCTCTCTCTCTCTCTATACATATATAAAAATTACAGAAATATCCCGATTAATAAATAATAAAAAATCCAAAAAACAGCCAATCAAAGGAAAAATAAAAAAATAATAATAATAAATAAAATAACTAATAACTGTCCTTCTGTCAGTATGTTCTTGCGCCTCAGGTCTCCGGTTGTCGATTGGTCGGCGGACGAAGACGATGAACAGCTCGTCGGCGAGCCATCCGTACGACTATGGAGACGCCGAGTACTGGGATGCGAGGTATTGGGAACAGGGGGGCTCCTCCTTCGACTGGTACCAGCGATTCTCCGCCCTCCGACCAATTATCAATAAACTCATCCCGAGCTCCTCTAAAATTCTCATGGTCGGCTGCGGAAATGCGCGTACCCCCTTTTACTTCCCCGCAACTTTCAACAAATTTTGGTTTATTCATAGAAATTTTGCGGTTAGGGTTTCCGGCTTGTTGGTTCTATCTTCTCTGTCTTTTTTTTTTTTTTTATCTGTTGAACAAAGTTAAGGATTTTTTTTTTTTTTTTTTTGAGGTATGACAGCATCGGCTTAACTATTTTGTCATGCTTGATCATATATGCCACCGTATGAACATGCATATTATTTGCTATTTATTTACATGCAGACAGAAATGATAATTTTATTAATTGTGAGTTTAGTTTGTTCTTTTCAATCAATGTTTATTTTATATCTGTCAATCTAAATAACATTTCAGTGCTTAATGAAACTATCTTTAAGAAATGGAAAGAACATATCTGAAAATGTTGAAATACGTACCATTCTTAGTAAACTTGTCTCAATGCGGCATAAAGACAATAAAAACATGAGAGAATATATTATGAAAATTTCTAATTCTGTAACTAGATTAATGACCCAAAAGCTAGAATTGTCTGATGACAGTTTTGTGCACCTAATCTCGATCTATTTTTCTGCACAATTTATGATTATGTTATGACATATTTCTATACAAAGAATTGAAAGGCTTGTGTCAGGTGAAATTCTTGACTCCTTTTGATTTATCGTATATTAATATTTGTATTGAATTTGTGAAAACAAACAGATATCAAGAAAATTAGTGCCAACAAGTGTTAAAGTGTCTTGGAATTAATTCATACTGATATTTGTGGTCATTTTCATACAGCTTCTTGAAATGTCCAACAATATTTTATTACTTTCATTGATGACCATTGTAGTTTTGTGTATTTATACTTGATATATGAGAAGTCAGGATCACGGGACAAATTTAAGATTTTCAAAGCTAAAGTCTTAAAAACTACATTATATATCCTTAATAGAGTTCCTAACAATTTAGTAGCTAAAACGTCATATGAGTTATGGACAAGAAAAAAGTTTAATATTAGGCATTTTCATGCTTGCAGATTTCCAGCTGAGGCTAGGAAATATTAGTCTAATGAAACAAAATTAAACTCCATAACTATTAGCTGTTATTTTGTTGGATACTTGGAAAGGATAAGGGGTTTTAAGTTTTATCTTTTTAAATAAATTCTTTTTCGAGGCGTGTTATTCTAAATTTATTGAGGATGTTGAGTGGGTTGGGAGTAACAAAATTAGGAATTTTTTTTTTGAAGAGAAATATATTACTATTTTTGTTATTACAATTGAAAGTGATCGAATAATTTTGTCTGATAATATTAAAGTTGTAAATCAAGATAATCAAGATATTTCTGAGTTACCTCCTACTTATATTGAAGAATCACTACAACTAGAGGTGTCAATTCTAGTCAGCATGTTGAGTCGAAATTCCGACTTAAAATTGACCCGACCCAAACAGGTATGATTCGAACCTGACTCGAATAGGTATGACTTAAACCTGACTCGAATAGGTATGACTCGAACCTGACGAATCTCTACCTGAAACTTACTTTTCTTCAACTTGCGAACCAGAACTTGATCCATAAACCCGTTTAATATAAGAAAAATCATTATTTTGGTTGAACTGAGTCAATTCAGGTAAATTCATGGTTGACTGGTCTATTTCAAGTCAATTTAAGGTCTGCGGGTCATTTTTGTGTTGCGGGTCAACACGAACCTTGCCCAAAAAATTGAACGGGTTAAGTTCATTAATCTGAACCCAGCTCGAAAATTATTCCGGTCAATCTGACCCAAATTTTTTGAGTCGAGTTGACATGTCGGGTCAATTTTGACACTCCTAACAACAACCTAAACTTGAAGTGCCATTAAAGAGATCCATTTAGGGAGAGGAGGATAGCAATTTCAAATGTTTATGTCGCATATCTCCAAGTGCATGAGTTTGATATTGAATTGGAAAATTATCCGATCTGTTTTAGTCAAATCAAGAAAATGCTAACTTCCATAAATGGATGAAAGTCATGAATGATGAGATGAAATCAATGAAAAATAATGATATTTGCATCTTGTTGAATTGCCTAACTTTACAAAAAGAATTGGTTGTAAATGGATTTTTAAAACCAAAATGTGTTCAAAAAGAGATGTCGAAAGATATAAGGCTCATCTTGTCACTAAAGGTTTCACTCAGTTGATTATATGAGACTCTCTCTCATGTTTCTTCGAAAGAGTTTTTTAGAATTATTATGACATTAATAGTTTATTTTGATTTAGAGCTACATCAAATGGATGTAAAGACAGTATTTCTTATAGGTAAACTTGAAGAAACGATATATATGCTGCAACCAAAAAATTTAAAAAGAAATTGATTCTAAACATCTAGTTTGCAAATTAAAAAAATCCACTTATGGTTTAAAACAAACATCCCTTTAATGGCATAAAAATTTGATCAAGTGACTTCTTTTGGTTTTAAAGAAAATATTGTTGATCAATTTATTTTTGATAAGGTCAGTGGGAGTGAATGTATAATTCATGTGCTATATGTCGATGATATTCTACTAGCAAGCAGTTATATAGGTCTTTTGTATGAAACTAAGATATTTGCTTAAAAGAAATTTTAAATGAAAGATATTGGAATGCATCTTTTGTGTTGAGTATACAAATTCATCAAGATCGTTCTCATGGTATATTTGGCTTATCACAATCGACATATATCGATAAAATGCTTAGTAGATTTGGCATGAAGGATTGTGCACGAGGAGATACACCCTTGACTAAGGGTGATAAATTTAGTATGTTTCAATACCCAAGAAATGATTTTGAAAAGAAAGATGTGGAAAAGATCTTTTATGCATTTGCAGTAGGGAGTCTTATGTATTCTCAAGTTGGACGCATACAAATGTTGCCTACATTGTTGGAATGCTTGGCATATATCAAAGTAACCATGAATGGATCATTGAAAAGTAGTAAAATGGGTTATGCAATATTTAATGAGAACAGAAGAGTTTATACTCACATATTAGAGAACAGATCATTTAGGGATCATGGGTTATTCCTACTTTGATTTTGTTGGTTGCCTTGGCATTAGAAGATCCACTACAGGTTATATTTTTATGATGACTAGAGGAATTGTGTCATGAAAGA